TTCAGAAATATAACAATACGAAGGCAAAGAGATGTTTTCATCAAGATGTGGTGATGTACAGTTGTCCTGGATAATCCCCAAATGTGCCTTCTTGTCACTGTCACCCAACACAAAAGTGGAATTAGAGGGGCTTAAATCTAGCAGAGCCATGTTTGGTGGTGCTGCGTCTTATCTTTTGGGGACAGATTGCTATTAAGCTAATGGACATTGCATGCGCACGGTTACGTAATTGTGTTAGCACTGTGTGGGGGGAACGATTCATGCGTTCATCAGAAAGCCGCTGGATGGCATGGGGCCCTTCTGTCACGGTTTCAATATCTATATAACAATCATTTCATAATAATAGGATATGCACCGACGGTTAATCAGGGTTATGCACACCAACAGTATTTTAATATTCTGGTGATGCAGTTATATGAGCTTTGGGAAGTGACCGAAAAGACAACACGGATCCATCCTCTTGTCTTAACAACCAAGGGGCAATTATAGTTTATTCTGCAGAGTGGCTGGGCGCTCCCTCAGAGATAGGGTGAGGAGTTCAGTCATACAAGAGTAGCTCTCAGTAGAGCTGCTACTCCTCAGTTCTAGGATTATCCCACCAGAAAGAGGCCCCCAGGGAAGACCTAAGAGAACACGCTGGACAGAGGAGGCCGTTTATAGTAGGGCTGGGCGATAAAACGATAACGATATATATTGCGATAGACACATGTTCGATAGCAATAGAAAACTGGTTCGATAGAATGTTCAATAGTTTTACTTGTTTACTCCGTTGGAAAAACAGGAAGAAAACATAAGAAGTAAAGCCGAGTCAGAAGCGCGCGGCATTATGGGGGATGTAGGCAAACGCTTCTCGACCTATCACAGCCAAGCCTGAACCGCACAACTTGCTGGGAAATGCGAAAACAACAACAACCGCACCATGCACCATGCGTACATACAGTACATGGGCGGCACAGTGGCTCAGTGGTTAGCACTCTCGATTCTCAGCAAGGAGGTCCTGCGTTTGAATCCTGGTTGGAACAGGGCCTTTACGAGTGGAGTTTGCATGTTCTCCCCGTGTCTGCGCAGGTTTATTTTGGGTTTCCCCTACCACTGAGTGAATGGATGGTGTTGACTGGAGGCTTTGATGCGGCGGCAGAGGCAGTGGACAGACCCGATGCATTCGGCGAAAGCAAGAGATTAACTTTTTCCTCGGGAAGCATGTGCGGCACAAAGAGTCGCACGGAGCGGTCACGGGGACACAAGACCCTCGAAAACAGCCCAAACAGGAACTAAACCAGGACTAACCCAGGATTAAACCAGGATTAAACCAGGATTAACAATGGGGGACACTGTGTGAACATATTCTTCCAGCCTCATTCCCCGTAAACAAGGCTGCTAAGGTTTGTTAGCCCACACGACAAATGTACTTATTTAGGTTTTTAAAAAAACAATCAATATATATCGTTATCGACATGAATTATGATATGATGATGATTATGATATTATGATGTGAATTACTTATATTGTGATATAGTTTTCAACCATATCGCTCAGCCCTAGTTTATAGGAAACTTTAAATAACTGTTTTTGTGTCACAGTGTTGTTCCTTACAGTGTAGTGGTATGCCAGAAATGGTAGTATTGTTGTACATTTGAAATAACATTCTGCTAGATGTAGAGGTAAACACCACATGGCCTGTTCTGGGGGAGGCAGTTGTAAAGAAAGTAAGTTGACTGGGGAAACTTAGAAGCAATAGATTTCTTGTGATTTAAAAGGTGGAGAACGGCGCTGTCCTACTCACGTCATAGTCCAAGGATTAACGATTACGTAATGAGTTTGGGAAAGGAGCATTGAGCAGATGTGTGTTTGTGCCGGAACTAATACAACGGTCGCACTACTAGTTGTTGTAGTAGTAGTTTTTTACACGGAGCACTTAAAAATAAATCTTGTATTTCGCATAAGTCGCAATTTGATTATATCCATTTTGAAGTACGGACCTGCACATTCACATTTAGCAATTTGCCTATTTTACATTACATCCATTAATCACAAGTGCCAGTCTCTATCAGCTTGTGCATCAATGAACATATTGTGCACTATTATGTAGCCTACATCACATCATCCAGAATAAAGGATTAATCCAAAAGCATTCACACAAGTCCATACATGTCAAGCCAGGGCCGAACAAGCTCCAAACCCTGATGCTTACACAGGAATGACACAGATTTAAGGACAGGCTGATTTAGGACTAAGGACCAAACTAAACCAACACAAGTCAAATTCAGACAAGTGGCGGAAGTAGCGGGTGGGCTTTGAAGCTAGCGGCTTTTTGTGTAAAGTTCTTCGCCAAGAATGCAGCTGTGCAGCGACTCTTTGTCCAGAGACTTTATATATCAGCAGTTTGTGTTCACGGAGGTGCACCATAAGTTTATTTTATTATTAAACTGTACTCCCGCATCAGCAAACACGCTAACACTAGCTGTGCTAGTTTAGTCACTTCTAGAGCCTGAATGAGAAGTCACGCTTGCATATGTTCACAACTACTGTGTCCCTCATTGTCAAATCCTGGTTTAGTCCTGGTTTAGTCCTGGTTTAGTCCTGGTTTAGTCCTGGTTTAGGTCCTGCTCGCTAGACCGCTAATGTTCCCGTGACCACTTTGCGGCTCTCTGACCCGAGAGAGAGGGAGAGAGAGAGAGACGGGAAAAACAAACAAGCTGCAAATGGCATTTATTGCTGCCAGAAAAATTATTGAGCTAATTTTAATTATCATGCGATTAACTAATTTATTGAATATCGCGACAGGCCTATGAGCGTGACAAACGTTACTGAGCTCAAGGAGTTTACTTTGTCAATGAGCGCTTCCCTATTGGGCTTCATTGAGCTTTCCAGTTTATGCACCAGACCTATCCTTGTGATAACTTGAATTTTTAGAAACAAACTATGAAAGAATAGAATCTAAGGCTGTTTATTATCATTACAATAATTAGGCTCATAGTCAAAATCGCAGTAATTTCAAACAGCAATGACACCTAACCCATCAAAATAAACATGTATTGAATGCATTGATCTTGCACAGCTCATATTATTATCATATTATTAGATATCCACGGAGACAGTAGTGTTTTTTGCTCTTGTTTAGTGGGTAGAACAAGCATGCAAGCTATAATATGTACATCACTTCTGCGAGCAAATGAAGAAACAAGTGAAATCAATAAGAAATTCTGTTAGTTGCACAGCCTTATTAGATCCATGTGTAAAGCAGGGCTGCTGTTCATAGACTAAACCCAAGAATTGGAGCCATTCCAAAGGACGAAAGTATGACTCAATCGCTGGACTTTGGCATTTGAAAAATGAGCGACCCTGTGCAGCAGAAGCACGACACTGACCACTGACTGCTGCCCAGGCCTCTCAACTCCCACGCTAATGCCATGTTGGTTCTATATTGTACGCTCCCGAGGGATCCGGGCAGGAGTCGGTCATTGCTTATCGTTTATCACAATGAGAAGTGTTAGCAATATTATGTACACATTATTCCACAAGAGGTGTTGCATAAACCACTATAAATAAATATAATAAAATAAAAATGTATTATAATAGTCTGACTCTTTACAACTAGAGTAATCTAACTAGTGAAGACAGAAATCTTAAATAATGTATGGACAAATGAGCCACTATGGCAGGATTGCACCCCAGATTGTTAAAGCTGGGACACATTTCAACACGATTGTCCTTCCAAAACAAGCCTGTCCCATCTCATACCACCTCCAAAGCTAGCTCCGTCTCACTGCCATCTCATATACATTTCACACTTTGATATCTGTGCCTTTTTCCCCACAACATCACACAAAATCATGCACACTAAACTCTGTGAAAAGCCACTGCAGCATCCGCTAATCCACGGGAGAAAGCCAGGCGTGAAAAGTCTTGTCGCAGTTCTCAGCCGGAGCCCTCTTTATCGCGTCCTGCCTTGCCGCCTCACGGTACTAAAAAAAAAACCGACCGGCGCCTTTGATGTTTGGCCACGACTGCTAGCTAAACCGCGGCGAATGCATCTTGTGTACCGAAATAAGCTAGCTACACTTGTTTAACACTTTTATAAGTAGGAAAACATACTAAAATTCAATATACCTTTTAAAAGCCATAGTGACAACTCCACATTCATGTTAAAGGTATAGGAGGATTTTACCAAATTTTTCGTAAAGAACCGCCCACTCCATTTTTTGAAAAACTCTGGTCTTATTTGACGAGCACGGATCACCAGAATGATTGACAATTAGGAGGACCAATAGTCTTGATGATCCACCCGGAAGAAGAAAATCCTCCTGTAAACCTTGCAGAAAATGCATCAATTTAGCTAAATCGACACTGGACACACGTGGAGATAAAAACTGTCAAATTAGGTGAAGAGGCAAAATAGTCACGATACTTGGGTTGAGACCAAGTAACATCTCAAATAATCTGTTATAACTATAGTAAATTAGTAAATTTACCTAACAAATTCATGTTGTTTTCCTTACATACACTAAAAACATCATATGAATGTTTAAGGACACATACAGACACTTTATTACACGTTTTGTCTTGGTCAATATACATATATTAAAATACCACAACATCAAAAGTAGTATTCGGTTCATTTCAGCACTCAAACCAACATTTCAATATTAAGGAATAGACTTGGGGCCAGTGTCGATACTGTAATTGTGCTTCTAAATCATACCAAGTTGTCTTCTTTAACTAGATAATAGTATGTATGTGGCCACAAGAATGTCTTCGAAACATCCACATTAATCCTATGCATTTTGGCTGTATGTAAATGATGAGCACCGCGACTACAATTTCAATAAATCATGGATTATGTGATACTTTTTACAGCCCTGATTTCTTCAGTAGGCAATAAATCCATTCCACTATCACCGCATTGATCTTCCCCCCATTTTTCAAAACACTAATTTGGGCACACAATATCAGTAAAGAAAGCCACGTTATAAACAAAGCCACGAGAAAGACCAGAGCATCTAAGTGCCGCGCAGTTCTGAACGGAGCCACGCAGCACGCAGCCTGCCGATGCGTAATACTGCTCCAGGATCCAGTCCGTGATCTACAGCGACCCAAGCCAACAGAAGTACTCATGCACCAACAGAAGTACTCATGCACCAACAGAAGTACTCATGCAAGCGGAGAGACGTATGCGCCCTGCAGCCACGCTTGTTTCCCACCGTACTACCACTGCGCATAACATCAGAGCAAAGAAAGCCTGCAAAGAGTTGCTCTGTCTTACGAAGCCAAGTGAGTTACTGTTGCAAAAAGCGACACATCCACAAAGGTTTAAAGCGCATCATTAATCCACACATTGATCCAACTTTACGGACAGTTATCCCGACTTGGAAAAAACAACAGCATCCATCCATTGGCTCATGTAGCGGTCCGCTGTTTTTTACGCAGAGGAAGGAAAAGAGCCACTCTTTTCAAAGCTGCGTGCAGACAACGAGATGAGGGGAATGAATCCGATAAAAGCAGAAAAACAACAAAGATCCTACCTTTATGAAGAGCCGCTTGAAAGGTGGTGAAAAAGAGAATAGTCGCAAGAGATCCGAAGCGAGCGTTAGCCATCTTGGACACCTGCTTGGGTTTATGGAGAGGAGAGCGAGGCTGCGCGTGTTCAGCGGGCGGTAATGAGATGCGGAGGGGGCGGGGCTTGTTCGCCATATGCATACGGTCACGAAGCTAATGAGATGCGGAGGGGGCGGGGCTTGTTCGCCATATGCATACGGTCACGAAGCTAATGAGATGCGGAGGGGGCGGGGCTTGTTCGCCATATGCATACGGTCACGAAGCTAATGAGATGCGGAGGGGGCGGGGCTTGTTCACCATATTCATACGCTCACGAAGCTAATGAGATGCGGAGGGGGCGGGGCTTGTTCACCATATTCATACGGTCACGAAGCTAATGAGATGCGAAGGGGGCGGGGCTTGTTCACCATATTCATACGGTCACGAAGCTAATGAGATGCGGAGGGGGCGGGGCTTGTTCACCATATTCATACGGTCACGAAAGGTGCCGCAACACTCAGGATTTACGAGCGAGGGGCACGCGTTTGCTTTTTACGGCGGATCATTGCGCACGGGAGGAATGGGTAGGGTTTGTAATGGGAAAGTGCCCCAAGCAATAGAAAAAAAAAATCATATCTAGTCAATAGGAGTCCAACAATGCAACAAACACATCTGTGTTGGGAGGGGGGTATTTGTGTTTTAATGAATATGTTTTCATTATATATATATATATATGGATTGGTTGTAAATAACACTTTTTGGATACTACTACTCCTTTAGCCACAGCTGCCCTGGGGCACACTGACAGAAGCGAGGCAACCAGTAAATGCCATCAGCCCCTCCAACCCCAAACAACCCATCGCACATCCCAGAGTCCTTTGGGAAATATGGGTTGTTTTCCTGATGGACACAGCGACAGCCTCCCCACAGTGGCACCTGGTGTTCCCAGAGGTCTCCCATTACTGTGCTACCCAGGGCCTGCCTTGCTTAGCTTCAGAAGTATGACCGGATCTGGCTTTCACATGCAGGTATGGCCACAATTATTATAAAAGTAATAATCAAACGTAGTTAATAAGTACTGTCCTCCCAAACACAACAAGCTTTTTAAGAAAGACAGCAGCCTTTAGTCCAAATAAAAACAACATTTTCATCAATATACTTCAATATATCCCAAAATGTATTTCTTATGCAACATGTATAGTGTGCACAAATCAGTGGACACACAAAACGACTGTGCTAAAACACAGTAAAATAAATGAGAACACTTAAAAAAGAGAATATGATATTATTTGCCATTGATTTAAAATATCTATCATGAACAAAGAATAGAAATAATTGTTTTGACCTGTAAAAACAAATACATGCTGACTTGTCTGATGCAGTCATTTGCACAAACCCACTAATCAGTACAGCTGATGTGTTAAAGGAGATGTATTGCTCAATATTGGCATCAAATCAATATCAGCACAAAACCACTCTCCCCAATAGCTACGCTGCGAACGCCACTTTCTCCAAATATTGAGCGGCGCGCACAGGTCAGGAAGTGCATCTCTTTCCTCTCAAGTCAAGTGTGCACGAAGAACATAATCCCCTGTTATTATGTAAACTGTGTTATGTAAAATGCATTATAAAACAACTGTCTGCCAGGGCTATACTTAGCGTTTTTGGGAACTGCAGCTTGGAACGCTTCCAAAAAGATGATAATGGATGCAGGACACATTTTATGAATGAAGCTTGATTTTAAAATTAATACATTATTTTATTATGGTATTTACCTTCCAGCTACTTAGAGAAGGTTATATCATCAGAAGCAAGTTGGATTAAGTGAGTCATGACATAAACCAAGAATATATAGGGTCATTCTGAGTGGAGTTTGCATGTTCTCCCCGTGTCTGCTCCGGTTTCCTCCGGGTGCTCCGGTTTCCCCTACCACTAAAAACATGTACAATAGGTCTGTGCCTCCTGTACTGGCCCCTCCCATCTCTGTGTGGAGTGAGAGACAAATGCCCAAAAATAACAATAGTAAACCGCTTTGTCTCTGGTCTGTGAAAGGCGGTAAATAAATAAAGATTACTTACTTACTTATAATAGGGCTGTCAAACGTTTCAAATATGTTTAGTTGATTAATCACACAGAAATGGTGAGTTAAGTCACGATTAATCGCATTTTTAACATTCTATTTCAAATCCACTCCAACTGAAGTTAAATGAGATTATCAAATGTAATGAAACATTGTCATTCAGACCAAATGTACTTTAGTCTGTTTGATTTGCTCACAACCTTTTACTTTTGGGCACAACCAACATGAGCTGTTAGTGAAAGGGACAATTTATGTACCCCAGCTTTAATCTAGCGAGATTAGTTTAGTTTCAGAAGGAGACACGGACACTTCCTGAGGCTCCAGAGTTCAGCTTCAGCGGTGTATTTGTGTGCACGGGTTACGCACAAAACATGTAATTGGAAAAATTGGACTAAGGTTTTTAAAACTCAATCCCTGTAATTGAAAATGCAAACAGTGTGATCTTTGGCAATATCACCACAGTGTGTCATTGGTCATAGTTGTTTTCTCTTGACAATTATACACGCATATATAGTTATTCTCAGAGCCATTTGTTCCATTGTTGCCCTTGGCTCCTCGGATACCTCCAACATGACACACCCACAGATTTATTTGCCCATTTTTACCCCTGCCCTGTGATCACCAGAGTTGGTTTGTTCATGAGAAATGTTTGATTCCATTTTAGATGCAGGATTTGTTTTTTTTAAGTAATGGAATGGACCTCTAAGCAGAAAGAGAAAGATTCCACTGATTGCCAACTTGATGAGTGGTTTGAGCCAAATATGAGCTCTCACTTTCCATCCATCCATCCATCCATCTTCTTCCCCTTAATCCATTTCTGGGTTGGGGGGGTGGCAGTCAGAGCTGCTACCCAAGTCCACAGAGCACTAGCCCCTCACTGATCCTCCTGCAGGTGCTGAGTCCACAGGAGCTGAGATCTTTCAGTTGAGGCTTTGGGCAAAGTAGGGTTAAGTGTCTTTCTCACTTTCCCTTTTTTTAAAAACATATTTTTAGTTCAAAACGAAGATTTTAAATATATGTCATAGATCATTAATTAATCAAAAGCACATTCTGTTTTCTTCTTTTGTTTTGATGTGACATTTCCAAACGGACATAAATATTGTTCATTCAGAAAAAATCAAAGAGTATGATGCCAACACTTAGCTGCCATTAAAATATATTTCCTGGGTCTATTAAAAGATGATTCTTGCACGAGGACAGAGTGGGACATCTGCAATTTTGGCTGCAAAATGTCCTCCGCTTGGTAATGAGAGTTTGCCCTTTTATAGCTTCCTGTCCTGAGGAGATAATTTTGTCATTTAGCTTCCTAATTTTGTCCACATCATTTCTGCCCGATTCCCGCTGCGCGCACTTTCCTCCGATTACCTTTATCTGAAACCACTTTTTTTTCGTCCTTTTAGCCAGGGACAAGAGATGGACGGCTTGGGTTTCCGAACGCGTCCGAGCCGACGATCTAGAACTCCGGCGTAAGCAAACCTCACAGACAAAACAATGGAATCCTACTCGTCAAAGGAAGCCAGCTAGACTGACCCGGGATATAAAAAGTGGGTCTTCTATTACAGCGGAGTGAAAGGTACATGAAAGCTGACCTTGAGTGCATCTCAGCTCGCCGGTTTGGTCCGCTCTTCTGACAGCTGCGCATTGCCAAGGTAAGTGGTTAGGGAAAAATCAAGGGAAGGGTGCGAGGCTGTCAGCCGTCCACTCGTAAAAAAGGTCAGATGTGTCGACGGTCAAGACTAGCAGTGAAAAAGGAAAGATAAATGCTTTTTGGTTTTTTAAAAGGACAGATACCGAATGGTTCCGTGTGTCCTTCAGTTTTTAAAATAAGATGGATTTGTGGACTGAAACTATCAATCCAAAACTTCAGACATACGGAATCGTTTTTGTGCCTTTTTTGTCTCTCACTCCAAGAAACTGCTTTTTCATTCAAACTATAAGTTCACTTTAGTCTTTTATTTGTTTTAATCATGTTAACACATTCCATCCAAAGCAAACCTGGAGTTGTTGTCAGGTAAATCCACACTGTAGAACTTCTGACCCAAGCCAACACAAACATGTTCCCCCGCCCCATCTGTCAAAATGCTCTGTTTTCAAATTCATGAGGAACCTATATCTTTTTGTGACATACTTTTTTATAATTCTCAGCAATAGTAGTATTGCATTGCGTGACTGTGTCAAGAAGTTTTAAGAAGGATTTTGTGAAAGTAGATTGCTTACTCTTTCTGTATGTACTGTACCTTTGGCCCTCCACAGGCGGTTATCCATCTCTAAGCTCGGGTCCTCTGCCAAAGGCCTGGGAGCTTCAGGGTTCTGCGCAGTATCGTTGCTGTTCCTAACACTGCACATTTCTGGACCATAGATCTGCTGTAACCACACCTCCAGCTTCAGGGTCACTACCTCCAGTGCACTGATCACATTTACCCTCCAGGCCCTCTCCAGCTCCTCTCAAGCTTTTCTTGTTCTTTTTTCCTGATGTTGCCATCACTTGAAAGGCTTTCCTCTGGCTTTTGTCTACCACCATGATGTCTGGTTTGTTGGCCATTACCATTCAGTCGGTCTGTATCTGGATCCAGATCTTAATACATGTTCTTTATCTGTTGTTCTTGTTTCTATTTAATACATCAAGAAATGAAATGACAAATTAAATATTTATAAATTCTGATGTTTAAGTGCCAGATTATGTAAGGGATAACGTATAGTACGCAGGTCATTATCGGAAAATAAGTACCGACAGGGCGAAGCGGTCCGCTTTATACCAACAGAACACACAACATAAACTTCAGTCCCACTTTTAGGAATGCCGAAAAGTTTATTTAAAATAAGAAAGAAAATAAAATAGTTCCCAAAGGCTTTCCCGTGGCTATGCTAGCAACAGTTACAAACAAAGAATCCTGAACATCAGCGGTGAGTGACCCAAACATAAACTTAACCTAAATCCATAATTCCATCCTCTGCAAATGTTCCTAAAATGTGCCGGTATCTACTTCCGGGTTTTTCACCATCGCCTTTTCTCGCATTACATCAGTGTTTTGGTCATGAAATCGTAAACGGAAAATTCTGAAAACTTCCGTGCACTTGTATTAAGACTGGATATGTATAAATTAATCTCCGATTAACATTTAAGTGTGTTGATTGATTGGTATTTGCGTTTATTGAGCGTGGCTAGCTCCGGAACGGCTGGAACTACTTGCGGAGTTATTCACGCATCATACAAGCAGAGAGTGCGTTGCTAAAGGGCAGAGGTCATTATTGTTTTGAGAGGTCCGTTATAGAAAATAATGACCGGTAGAACGTTTTGAAGTTATATTCAAATCAATGGTTCTCCTGCTGCTGTGAGGAGCGTGTGATAAACACGGATAATGTGTCATATACTAAAAACATGCAGGTCTGAATGTAAATGAGAGAGTGAATGATGGTGTTGGGTCAGAGGCTTTGATGGTCCAGTGTGTTCTGGACTCGCTTCTGTCATCACCGTGTGGAATGATTGGAACAATTTCTGACTCTGAACATTGGAAAGGTCTGACCTTGTGCTATAAATGTGCTATATAAATAAACATTACTTACTTACATATTAATTTAGTATAATATTAAGGCAAATATTTGCTTCCATCGGTTTTATAAAGTGCTTTTCAGAACGCTCAAAGATGCTTCACATTCTTTCAACACATCCACAATGCTCACTCTCCTCAAAGGTTTCTATAGCTTTTCAATAACATTTACCTTCAAACGATGTTGTTTAAATTGGCCTCTTACTGCGTTAAAATGGATTTTCAAACAGCCAGAATACCAGATTATTTTGGAGTACATTAATTGGGGCAGTGCTTTCCAAACTTTTTGAAGTTGGGAACCCCATGAGTATGGGTTTATTTTTATTGCTGACACCCTGGCACTTTGTATCCTTGTTACTCCTCTATGGGAAATGAAACAGGTGCAGAAAGCCGGTCAAGCAACACACATGACCCGAGCAAGACTACAATAATAATAAGAAAATCACCATTATTACTCATTAACATTCATTTTGATAATATTAACATCAGGTGCATCAAAGGAGACATATTACACAAATAATACTAATATACTTTTAACCATGTCACATCCTTGATCCCTCGTCAGTCATTGGCCTGGAGTTGTTTTTATGTCAGGAACTTCTGGCACAAACATGTTGCTCCGCCCCTTCTGTCTAATAGCTCCTGTCTCAAACCCATAATAGTATGATGTATATATGTAATATATCACTGTGACATATTGCCCATATTCTCAGGTGACTAGTGTTTAGAAACTCATAGCTACACATTGCGGTGTTTGTAGCAGCTAATTGGAGCGTATGGAGTCAGTTTGATGGGAGAAGGATGGTGTGACAACGGGACCTCTGAACTTGGCTCTTCCATCTTCACCTGCGGACTGCCCTGCCCGACCCGCCTTGTGGGCTGCACCCCATCCGTCCGTGTGGAGAGAATCCCTCTCTCAATGTGGCTCTCCCCGAGGTTTCTCACTTTTTTCCTTACAGATGCAGGAGGGTCTGTTGGACAGTTAGTGTCTAACAAGAAGCATGTGGTGGTGATCCAGGACACTTTAACATTCTACAACATGTATGACATTTATCAACATTCATGGACATTGGTCTCTCCTTATGGACCAATACATATGTGTTCTTTATTTTTTGTGTCTTAACTGTTTTTATTAAGTCCTCTGAGATGACAGCTGTTGTGATTTAGGGCTATACAAAAAAAAGTACAAGAATTCAACTCCTCCCTCTGGTGCTAAAAAAAACATGTTTATCATTTTTACTTACCATATTATTAATTTTTAACTTAGAACATTATTTCACATTCTAAAACATAGATAATTATTTAAATTATTTATTTCAAACTTGCACAAATAATGTTCACATAACAGACAAAGATGTAGCAGTTTGGAAAAGCAATGGATGAAAATAAAAATAGTCCCACTATTGTAAGGGACTAAATGACGTGTGCAAGGCCACACCCCCTGACCCGGTCCCTGACCCGGTCCCTGACCCGGTCCCTGACCCGGTCCCTGACCCGGTCCCTGACCCGGTCCCTGACCCGGTCCCTGACCCGGCCCCTGACCCGGTCCTGACCCGGTCTGCTGTTGTAAAGTGTGAGGTTCTCGCTCATTACGGGGTTCTGTTCTGTACTCTCTTCATAATAAACCACCTGCTCCTCTCTTCTTCCACACTAACACTTGGCCCGTCACACCATCATGTTTAACGGTCAAAAAAATGATGGGTGATAATCAGTGTTGGGCACGTTACTTTGAAAAAGTAATTAGTTATAGTTACTAGTTACTTCTCCCAAAAAGTAACTGAGTTACTAACGGAGTTACTCCACTATAAAAGTAACTAGTTACCAGTAAAAGTAACTATTGCGTTACTTTTTCGTTTTGTTCTGGAACATAATGTGCACCCGACGTGCGCATTTTTACCTTTAATAGTGCCAATATTTCCATCTAGAAAAGGCTGTTTTGCTGCTGAAGTCCTGTTCACTCTTCATCTCTCTCTGTGCTGTAAAGCACTAAACACCGGTGACGAGCGGTGAGGCCGGTGAAGCACTGACTTCAGTCCAATCAGATGAACATATACATCATATAAATCAAGTGGACAATTTGTTTGGCTACAGCAAAATATGTTTTATGCCCGCATTGTTTGTTCATACAAAACCTTATAGCTATACCTTATAAATGACCTGCACAGTCCACTTCGGTTCAGACCAGTTCCTTGTTTAAATCCAGTGAATGGTTTGAGCGTAGATATGTAATCCTCCATTTGGAAATGAGTCCAATGAGTTTTAAAAAGTAAAACAAAACGCGTGTGTCCTCCGTAAACTCCTCTGTTTTGCTGCAGCCGGCTGCATCCAATTTCTAAAATCAACCGTCTTACACTTCACCTCTCTTTCTTATCATTCCTATAGTAATTGAAAAATTACCCTATGTGCATTTTAGATTATGTAAAAATGTGTTATATGTATGTTAGCCAAACCTGTTGCTGTCCTTAGCAGATAAACCAGGAAGAGCAAGGAGCTTATCGATGGAATTGTATGCAGCCGACTTCTGCGCTCACATGAGCTCCTCTGTGGCTGGCCTCCACGGTGATACAAGCCGTGGTTGAGTGAGATTAAGACCCATATTTCTTTCAAAAACACAATTTATGAGCCATCCTCTCAACTGCAGACATGTAGATTGTAAAGGAAATATGATTTACATCAGCCAATAATTGCTGAGAGGTTTTCTCATCCTCCCTTCTCTCATGACAACACGTTCATTGTGCGTCTTGAGTAACGCGCAGTAACGGGATGTCGGAAATGATAACGGCGTTATAGTTACTGTCAAAGTAATTAGTTAGATTACTCGTTACTGAAAAAAGTAACGGCGTTAGTAACGCCGTTACTAGTAACGCCGTTATTCCCATCACTGGTGATAATTCATTCAAAGTAAATAGTACTTTTGGAATATAAAATACTTTCAGACTATTTTCACTTAGACCTAATCTGTGAACTGGCAGTGGCACTGGTTAAGGTGCCTGGTTCGTGTAGACAGAGACAACTCAAAACAGAATCAAAAGTTCACACCTTTTATGTATGTACTGTATTGAGAATGAGGAGTCACGTGCCGAGTTGGGGTGATTTGGGGGGGGCTCTGAGCCTGTCGGACATATTGGCTGCGCAACGGGGGCACGCCCCCAGAATTTCACGCGCTCCTCATATTCCAGAGCACTTTAAATTATACGCATTTACGTTTTCGGCGAGACAGAGACGGATCTACTGATACAACAAGGGAAAGGAAGACAGTAAAACAATGCTTAGAGATAAGGCGAAAGAGAAGGGACCGTACAGGAACACGTTGTTTTGCAGTGTTTTGTGTCCCTTTGCACTAAGAAAAGTATGACTCTTATGATCATTTTTGCCTATGCTGTGCATGTTTACATGCTGGAAACAGTACTTTGAATGCACACGTTGTTTAGCAGTGTTTTGTGTCCCTTTGCACTAAGAAAAGTATGACTCTTATTATCATTTTTACCTATGTTGGGCATGTTTACATGCTGGAAACAGTACTTTGACTGCACACGTTTGTAACAAAAAAAATATTCATTTCTCAATAAATATTGGTAAACCATATCAAGTTGTTTCATGCATTTATTTAAAAATAAAAGATACAGTAAAGAATAAGGTACTCAAACAACACTTTTGCACATGTTCGTTAAGGCACAGCAAACAATGACAATCTTATCCAAAGGCATTAGGTTTTCACCCTCACATTTGACAAGCATGTGCACAGGTACAGTTGAGTGTAAGAATTTGAATTTGTTGCGCACAACACCGATCACCCTCTCCACGTGAATTCTGAGATGTGCTATGGCCCTAGTCTCCTCCACATCTTTCGCCTCAAGCTGAGCACGACCCCTGGTGAATGTAGGTATTTTCACTTCAGCACACATCATGCCCACATTTTCTCTTATATTAAAGCCTCTATCTGCCAGCACAATGTCACCTGGTAACAGCTTGTTCAGGAAACCACTTTGCTCGGTTATATGCTTGTCGCTTGTGCGCCCACCCCACCCGTTCGATATGAAGGAAATAATACCCTGGGGCGTGATCACGATTAGGTATTTCATAGTGTATGCGTGTTTGTATTGAGAAAAAGTCTGTGCCCTTGCTAGTACATTGGAAGGTTTCTCGATGAACACCTCGAAGCAGTCCACAATGGCAGCCACATTGTTCCCAAATGACTCCACAAACTGGTGTGGCATACTGGTCAATAAGCATTCCCTACTTGGCCAGTGCACCAATGGACACAGCTGTGCGTACATCACACCAAGGGTATGGTGAAAGGCATCGGCGACTGTTGTCCTATGTACTCTAAACAGATGGCTGAGGTGCTGTATTGGAAGGTCCAGTCTGAGGCGCATTAAAGTCAATAGGACAAGCTGGAAGGGTGAGAGCTTCTTCATTCTACCTTGAGGCAGATCTGGAGTTAGGTAGAGTAGAAGTGTCTGGAACAATGCAAAGTTTGGAAGCCCCGTGTAATACTTCACTGTGTTATCATCACCACTCAGAAAGTTCTCATTCATCGGTACGTATCAAGCTCACGCTTCAGCTGTCTGTTTTCTTCAAGAAGATTGTTGATAACATCTCGTCTAGATGTGCAGAGTCCACATTCCATGTCCGGGTCAGCTGGCGGCTGGTCTAGGGCTGGCGGCGGCGGCGCCTGCGGCTGGTCTAGGGCTGGCGGCGGCGGCGCCTGCGGCTGGTCTAGGGCTGGTGGCGGCGGCGCCTGCGGCTGGTCTAGGGCTGGTGGCGGCGGCGCCTGCGGCTGGTCTAGGGCGCTGGTGGCGGCGGCGCCTGCGGCTGGTCTAGGGCTGGTGGCGGCGGCGCCTGCGGCTGGTCTAGGGCTGGTGGCGGGTGCAGCTGGTCTAGGGCTGGTGGCGGCTGCAGCTGGTCTAGGGCTGGAGGCGGCGGCGCCTGCGGCTGGTGTTGGGCTGGAGGTGGCTGCCGCTCCAGTGGCAGGGACCTGCGCCTTACTTGCCGCTGATATCTCGCTTCATCTGTTTTTTGTACATCATTGTGGCCTAACAACAGGGATGGTGTCCAGTCAGGGTGGTTCTCCAACATCTCATATGCTGGTTTACCTACACGAGAATAATAACAACATATAATTATATAATAATTTGCACAATCTATGTAATCAATGCTTTAAACTGGCAACTATGTCATGAACAGCATCTCAAGTACTTTTTAGGTCACCTCATAATGTCATATAAAGGTTTATGTACAACAGAATAATTAGATTATGTGTACAATCTATGTAATCTATGCTTTACACTGGCAAAGACCTCGCAGAACACGTGCTAAGTAAGAAACAGCCTGAGAGGGTAACAAAGACACAGAGACAAAGGCACTACAGAAACCATAATAACATATGCTAACCTACACTTCCTAGCTTTAAGAGACAACTACATAAATACATTTTTAGAGAACGTACCAGAGTGAAAATGCAGAGAACACACTCTCGTCGACAGGGGTGTGTGATCGAAAGTAAGGTCCTTTCTTCTAATTGCAGCCAACCAAGCAATCCGACGTCTCCTTGTCAGGTCAGAGAATTGCTCCCCTTGATGCTTTTTCCATTTCGGTAACCTAAAAAACTGTATCCCGTTGTTACTAGGTTTTCCATATCCATCCTGGGAGGTATTGGAGCAGTTTTTAACGCAGCAGTTATTTCCAGGCATGATAAAACAGTGCGGAATAGCAAGAACCTCCGCTACTACCGCGTTCACAACACACGTAAACAAACTGTACTGCCGCCACCGGTGCGCAGCCAATATGTCGGCAAAGGGGGGATGGGGAGGGGGGACTCTGTGCCGTGACGTCAACTCCTCATTCTCAATATAAAGGGAGTGGGTGAAAAGTTCCAAAGAAGGTTGTGACTTTTGCATGTGAGATTTAAAATGACATGTCGTGTTATTAACTAACTAACTGAGCGACTTGTATGTCTATAGAGCTTTCTCCAAACTTCCCTCAGGGTCTTCTATAGTGCTAGAAATACTTTTGGAAAAGTGATTCCAGAGGGGATAGAAAGTGCATGTCGTCAGTGATGGGCAGTAGCGACGCTTCCTGTAGCGAGGCTACTTTTTATTTACCTACTGAATTTATTATATTTTTTCAATTTCTTAAATAGAGCAGTCAATTGTCTCTGATTCACATTCGTTATGTGTATATTGGGCTATTGTTAGTACATCAGAATCAGAATAATTTGTATTACCATGTAAGTAAACGGAAGTCACAGACTAGGAAATGGCTTTCGCTCGGTGCAACAGTCAGAAAGAGAGGTAAAGAATAGAGTGAGGCATACTAAACAAAATCAGCAACACTTCTGTTATGAAATTAAAATAGAATGATTACGATTACAATGACTATATACAATATACAATTGCACATGGTGCACACAATATGCAGTAAGCAATGCATAAGGCGACAGCAGTAAACTGACTTTATGATAGGCTGTAAAGTGACTTTATAAAGGGCTATACAGTGACTTTATAAAGGGCTGTAAAGTGACTTTATAAAGGGCTATACAGTGACTTTATAAAAGGCTGTAAAGTGACTTTATAAAAGGCTGTAAAGTGACTTTATAAAAGGCTGTAAAGTGACTTTATAAAAGGCTGTAAAGTGACTTTATAAAGGGCTGTAAAGTGACTTTATAAAGGGCTGTAAAGTGACTTTATAAAGGGCTGTAAAGTGACTTTATAAAGGGCTGTAAAGTGACTTTATAAAGGGCTGTAAAGTGACTTTATAAAGGGCTGTAAAGTGACTTTATAAAGGGCTGTAAAGTGACTTTATAAAAGGCTGTAAAGTGACTTTATGAAAGGCTGTAAAGTGACTTTATAAAGGGCTGTAAAGTGACTTTATAAAGGGCTGTAAAGTGACTTTATAAAGGGCTGTAAAGTGACTTTATAAAAGGCTGTAAAGTGACTTTATAAAGGGCTGTAAAGTGACTTTATAAAGGGCTGTAAAGTGACTTTATAAAAGGCTGTAAAGTGACTTTATAAAGGGCAGTAAAGTGACTTTATAAAGGGCGGGGGGACAGGTAATGAAGTGTTCAAGAGTCCAACAGCAGAGGGGAAGAAACTGTTCTTGTGGCGGGAGGTTCTAGTCCTGATGGACCGCAGCCTCCTGCCTGAGGGGAGTGGTTGGAATAGTCCATGTGCAGGTGAGAGGGGAGTGGTTGGAATAGTCCATGTGCAGGGTGAGAGGGGAGTGGTTGGAATAGTCCATGTGCAGGTGAGAGGGGAGTGGTTGGAATAGTCCATGTGCAGGTGAGAGGGGAGTGGTTGGAATAGTCCATGTGCAGGTGAGAGGGGAGTGGTTGGAATAGTCCATGTGCAGGGTGAGAGGGGAGTGGTTGGAATAGTCCATGTGCAGGTGAGAGGGGAGTGGTTGGAATAGTCCATGTGCAGGTGAGAGGGGTCGGCTGTGATACGACCAGCCCGGCCTCGAGCTCGGGCGACGTACAGGTCCTGCAGCGATGGAAGGCTGCGGCCGATCACTTCCTCTGCAGAGCGCACAATGCACTGTAGTCTCTGTTTGTCCCTGACTGTGGCTCCAGCGAACCACACGGTGATGGAGGAGGTGATGGAGGAGGTGATGGAGGAGGTGATGGAGGAGGTGATGGAGGAGGTGATGAAGGAGGTGATGGAGGAGGTGACGGAGGAGGTGACGGAGGAGGTGATGGAGGAGGTGATGAAGGAGGTGATGGAGGAGGTGATGGAGGAGGTGGAGGAGGTGATGGAGGAGGTGATGGAGGAGGTGATGGAGGAGGTGATGGAGGAGGTGACGGAGGAGGTGACAGAGGAGGTGATGGAGGAGGTGATGGAGGAGGTGATGAAGGAGGTGATGGAGGAGGTGATGAAGGAGGTGATGGAGGAGGTGATGGAGGAGGTGATGGAGGAGGTGACGGAGGAGGTGACAGAGGAGGTGATGGAGGAGGTGATGGAGGAGGTGATGAAGGAGGTGATGGAGGAGGTGATGAAGGAGGTGATGGAGGAGGTGATGAAGGAGGTGATGGAGGAGGTGATGGAGGAGGTGGAGGAGGTGATGGAGGAGGTGGAGGAGGTGATGGAGGAGGTGATGGAGGAGGTGAGGATGGACTCGATGATGGCCGTGTAGAACTGCACCAACATCTGTGCAGGCAGCTTGGCTTTCCTGAGCTGCCGCAGGAAGTACATCCTCTGCTGGGCCTTCTTGATGAGGAGCTGATGGTCGGCTCCCACTTGAGGTCCTGGGTGATGGTGGTGCCCAGGAAACGGAAGGACTCCACAGAGGTGATGGGGGAGTCCATCACGGAGGGTGGGGGCGGGGGGACAGTGCTCTTCCTGAAGTCCACAATCATCTCCACTGTCTTCTGGGCGTTCAGCTCCAGGTTGTTACCACTGCACCAGGACACCAGCCGGTCCACCTCCCTCCTGTAGGAGACACCAGGACACCAGCCGGTCCACCTCCCTCCTGTAGGAGACACCAGGACACCAGCCGGTCCACCTCCCTCCTGTAGGAGATACCAGGACACCAGCCGGTCCACCTCCCTCCTGTAGGAGACACCAGGACACCAGCCGGTCCACCTCCCTCCTGTAGGCGGACTCATTGTTGTTGGAGATGAGTCCAATGAGGGTGGTGTCGTCCGCGAACTTGATCAGCTTCACAGAGTCGTGGCTGGCAGTCAGAGCTGCACCCAATTCACAGAGCACCAGCCCCTCACTGATCCTCCTGCAGGAGGTGGGTCCACAGGTCTTTCAAAGTGGGGTTAAGTGTCTTGCCCAAGGACATCAATGGGAGTCGTGATGTAGGTCTTGTGGTGGCATCAAACCCATGACCTTCAGGCTCAAAGGCTAATGCTTTACCAACTGAGCCACTGTCGCCCCCACAATCTAATCCTATACAAGAAAAATAATATAGTCACACACTCATTCACTCGGATAAGACACAGGCCCAAACCCTCTCTGACCCTACACCTGTCTCCAATCACCTGCTTGCTCTTTTATACATAATATATTATGCATAAAGATACATTGACAGTGTATTAGTAGTATTTCTACATTTGTAGAATTGTTATTCTAGACTAGAGAATAAAACAGGTTTGTATAACAATACTGCTCATATTTGTATGATAATAATAAAAACAATCCTTATTATTATGATTCTAAAATGGGTTCAAACATTAAGATTTCCTTCCACATACTTTCACTTCTATTTACATTACATACATTATATTTGTCAGTAAATCTGTATAAACTTGGTAAATTTATGAACACGGATGGAGACATATTCGCCAATAACGGTTTTATTTTTGATCAAAACACAAGGACAAAATAAATGTTAAGGCATATGATTTTTATAATACTTTTTTACTTCTTCTCACTCCTTTTTCGAGTTGATACTTATATTTTCAATACACATTTAAAAAAAAAAACTAAGTTATGGATTAGACTTGAAATAAAAATATTTCATTTCAAATGACATAAAGTGATGCATCAGACCAATGTTACGCGTCTCGTGTAAATGACGTGGTCTGACAACCCTCGCTGAGGAGGAACATGGAGTATGGAGCTATTATTGTTTCAATAATGTTTGTGTGTGCGTAAAAAGAATAAAAAACAATCCTTATTATTCTTATAAGTAATAAATATCTTATTATCACCACTCATTATGATACAAGTATGAGTAGTACTGCTATAATAAGACCTGTTTTAGTTTAGAGTGATATACTTTACTATGACATGAAGAGCGTAATATTCAGCTGTGACATCTGTAGATTGAGAGTCAAATCTCTGCATTTGTTCACATTTCTCCAGTTTTTTGAGTGTCTGTACTTGTATATTCTTCTCTCATTTCTCTTCACTTCATCGCTGCTCAGGTAAGTGTTTGCAGCTGGCTAAAGGACACGTGCTCGGGCTCTCTTGAAGGCTGGCTACTTGCTCCTCACTGCAGGGGCGGTGTGGAAGAATGTCAAGGCACTCGCTGCTTGAAGTCTTAGGGGGGATGACAAGTGGAAGGATGTTGGGCAGGAAGCGGTATCTCCTCCACGTCAGCAGCGATAAGGCGGAAGAGTAATATGTCGGCTCCCCTATGGATGATTTAGCTCTGCCATGACAGGAGGAGGTTACAAAGAGGAGAGTCCAGGCTGGAAATATCAAACACAATTACAGGATCGAGAAAGTTGTGCTTGGGGATGTCAAGTCTATTATGTTCATGGATTAATCAGGATTATTCAGGTCAAATCAAATCAATTGTATCGGCATAGTTTAATTCCTACACAAGGACACTTCACAAAGGGTTCGAATGGGTTCGAATCCCGGTCGGACCAGGGCCTTTCTGAGTGGAGTTTGCATGTTCTCCCCGTGTCTGCGTAGGTTTCCTCCGGGTACTCCGGTTTCCCCTACCACTAAAAATATGTCCAATAGTTCTGGCATGTGCCTCCTGTACTGGTCCCTCCCATCTCTGTGTGGAGTGAGGGACAAATGCCCAAAATTAACAATTGTAAACCGCTTTGAGACTCAGATCTGCAGTGAAAAGGCGGTATATAAATAAAGATTACTAAAGATTACTTACAAAAGCCCACAAACATGTGAGCAGACAAACCAGACAAAGAAATGTGCACTGTCACTTAAACATGTTAATAAGATAGATAGATACTTTATGGATCCCCGTAGGAGAAAATCTGGGGCGACAGTGGCTCAGTTGGTAGAGCATTAGCCTTTGGGCCTGAAGGTCTTAGGTTCGAATCCACCACAAGGCCTACTTCACGACTCCCACTGATGTCTGCTGTCGTTGTGTCTTTGGCAAGACACTTAACCCCATGTTGCTCAAAGAAAAGCCCCCACTGGAAGATCAAGGCTCCTGTGGACTCAACCCCTGCAGGAGGATCAATGAGGGGCTGGTGCTCTGTGATCTGGGTGCAGCTCTGACTGCCACCTCCCGAGAGATGGATTAAGGGGAAGAAGATGGATGGATGGAGGAGAAAATCAGGTGTTCATAAGCAGCAGAAACACATCCATCCATACAAACGAATAAATAATCAGCGGTGATCACAACTACTGTACTACTGGTCACAGCCCAAATGTTATAATTATTTCTAATGCGCGTGATGTTCATATTCACTGTAAAAGAAAAGCTTGTAAGTGACATTAATGAAAACATAACCAAAAGAGTAGGGTTTATTAGACAATTCAAGTCTTTTCTACTATGTTAGCTGGTTCTATACACTGTAAAAAGCCAATATTAGACAATCCAAGTACTTTTTTGGAGGGAATTTGATTAACCCTTAAAAGACGATGCCATCGCCGACGATGGTGGCGCACATGTTTTACAAATGATCAATTTACTCGCGAACGGTGAACGCTAGCGACTTACTTTTTTTTATCTCCGTGAAGTACACATTCCAGCCTTTCCGAAACTGCCTTCAGTTTGTCTCTGCTACATACGGGGGATAAACTAGGTGTGTATGAAAGTCAGTCCCCCAAACGGATCTTCAAGCGGTGCCCGTGAGCCACAGCCGCATGTAAAGTTGTTCACACACACGGGGCTCAGACAAAGATTGTCAGAGAGTAGGATCTCTCACTCCTCTGTGTTTACTTGTTGCAGCATAAGCAGCAGCGCTCAGAGGAACCAGAGGAGTTCGCATTATAGAGAATAGACAATAATAAATACAGTAAAATTATATTATGTGTATATAATGTATTTATATAAATAAATGAGATGTTTTTTGTTTTTTTTTTGTCTTAGTTTCTTTTGTTTTACATATTTTACAGCTGTGATACAGAAGCAACCACAGCCTCATAGACAAACTGCTTGAGGAAGGGCATCAGGAGTACAGCGTTTTTTGGTTTTATAGTGGAATTTTGTAAAAAGTATAATAGTTACGGATTCAAAGGCCCAACGCAATAGCAATATAATATAGATAAAAACTAAACACAAAGCGATATGGTATGGGACACACACATTCAGAGACACAGGACCAAACACTCTCCAACCCTACACCTCTTTCCCACTACTCCATGTACTTCTTGAGTACTTTTAATTTCAATCATCTGTTAATCCGTTCCAAAGATTAGCTCCTCGCACATGGATTAAAAGTAGTTCTAAATGTAGGCCTTTCCTTTGCTTCCTCTTAGACTATAATAAAGGTGAGCAACCTTCGGGAATATCGTTTGTATGTTAAGTGCAAAACAGTTTTAAAATGAGTCAAGTTCTCCTAAATGTATGCAACAGGTACTGTATACATGTTTCCACACACACTGGAAATAAATTATCAATCTGGAAAGACAATATAGCTCCAGTTCAATGAAACCACCCCTCCACAGAAGAATAAACAAACTCTTTAGAAGGAGTGATTTGAGGCTGTAAAGGGAAGGAGGTTTTGGACTGAGGGATGTTCTGAAGGAGACCATCTGAGAAGGTTTTCAGGGAGATCGCTCTGGATTTGTGACTAGTCTGTGGTAATCCTGTAAATAACTGGTTAACTACGAATCCCGTTAAAGCTCTCACTGAAATGTATTTACTCGTGTAAAAGTGGGATTATCTGTTGTACACAGTGAGCTAGCTACATTTAGCTATTGATAGCAAGCTAAGCTAAAACGTCCTTCCTGTGCTGTGCCGTACCGTGACTATGGAAAAGCGACATTAGTGAAAAAGAATCATTGATCAGAAATGTAGGGTTACGATACAATCTACCACCTGTTTATAGTTGTTGCTCACACCGTGGTTCGAGGAATAGGTCCAGGAAACCAGTCCAGGAGTTTGAAATTACAACAGATTAGGACATAAAGAGGTCTATGCTCTCTGTATATTAAATTCTCCATTCTCAGACCACCTCTTCAGATCTGACAAGAGCACATGGATGGGACTCAAAATGTGTCTACTCTGAAAAGTGTCCGAGTGTGAAATGTGTTTCAGCGTTAAACAAGGTGCTCCGCTCTGCAAAGAGGACCGTGGGCTGTGAGCTTCCTGTTCTGGAGGTTCTTTATAAATCCAGACTTTTAAACAAAGCTCTTAGGATTGTTAATGACTCTTCTGGCCACCCTGGGAAAGCCATGTTCCAGCTTCTTCCCTCTGGCAAGATATCGCTCTCTGAGATGCAGGACATCTCGTTATGCTAACAGCTTCTTTCCACAGGC